CCTACCCTGTGATGCGCGCGATAGGGGGCGGAGCAAAACTGGTACTAAAATAATACTAGAATTCTAGCAAATTAGCCCAGCATTCTTTATTTCGAAGGAACAGAAGTTGAACCAGCTGGGCTACAAATTAGCTCTGCACGGCAGACATTTTGCCTATAATTTGTCACTTTTTCTATGACCCGGATAGTTTTTCTGAAAAGTGATGCTTCAAACCAAACATGATGCTGAAACGACCTCCGCCTTGGTCATCGTCTCTAGAGCTCCATTTCTGCGCGATCAAGCCAATGCAACCTGTTTCTTATAGACTCGTGAATTTTAACAGTTCTTACAACAATCAAAAGTGTTTCGAATGAGACGAGATACATGCAATTCAAGGTCAAAAAGCGCAAGAACTTCCTCACGACCTAACAGCATCACCCTCTCCGCACGCGGTCTAAGGATCGTATCAAGCCCTAGTAGTACCTGGTCTTGTCCGGGATGGTAAAAACATCGACTTCTACTGAGATCAAAGCGTTCCTGAGTTCCATTGTTTGACACTTTCTTTGTGATTTTCTGAGGTAAATCTCTTTGAGCAGCTATGTGGGACGACGCTTTATGCCTCAAAGGAAGCGATCGCGCTGGCTCAGGGGTGGAGAAGAGCTTAACGTTTCATTGACGGAATCGGTCGATACAAGAGCTAACCAGGACGGTCTTTCAGGGGAAGGAAGGGGGCTGGAAGGAGGGAGGGACGGAGAAAGAGGGAGGGAAGGGGAGAGGAGAAAGAGAGGGAGACATGCCATGCGCCTGAGAAGAGGGTATAAGGGAGGGGAGGTGGGGGGAGGAGAGACTGAGGAAGAACGACCGTTTTAAGAGTAAGGTCTATATTCATGTTGACGTATTATTCTAACCTGATGTGGTGATTGTGATAACACCCACAACGGCTACAAAAACACCGAACGAGCACACTCAACCGGGGCAGCCGAAGTCGGCGGGCGAGGGGAGTAGAAGGGAGGGCGAGAAAGCAGAAGGGGTGGAGGGGGAGAGAGGGAGGGAAGAGAGGAGAAAGGGAGGGAACATGGTGCTGCCATGCGCCGGAGAGAAGGGGTATAAGGAGGTATAACACATCAATAGTGAGGTGGTTAATGGAGTACGTCATGCTGCTATTCCGTGGTTCCTCCCTACCCTGTGATGCGCGCGATAGCGGGCGGAGCAAACCTGGTACTAAAATAATACTAGAATTCTAGCAAATTAGCCCAGCATTCTTTATTTCGAAGGAACAGAAGTTGAACCAGCTGGGCTACAAATTAGCTCTGCACGGCAGACATTTTGCCTATAATTTGTCACTTTTTCGATGACCCGGATAGCTTTTCTGAAGAGTTGATGCTTCAAACCAAACATGATGCTGAAACGACCTCCGCCTTGGTCATCGTCTCTAGAGCTCCATTTCTGCGCGATCAAGCCAATGCAACCTGTTTCTTATAGACTCGTGAATTTTAACAGTTCTTACAACAATCAAAAGTGTTTCGAATGAGACGAGATACATGCAATTCAAGGTCAAAAAGCGCAAGAACTTCCTCACGACCTAACAGCATCACCCTCTCCGCACGCGGTCTAAGGATCGTATCAAGCCCTAGTACCTGGTCTTGTCCGGGATGGTAAAAACATCGACTTCTACTGAGATCAAAGCGTTCCTGAGTTCCATTGTTTGACACTTTCTTTGTGATTTTCTGAGGTAAATCTCTTTGAGCAGCTATGTGGGACGACGCTTTATGCCTCAAAGGAAGCGATCGCGCTGGCTCAGGGGTGGAGAAGAGCTTAACGTTTCATTGACGGAATCGGTCGATACAAGAGCTAACCAGGAAGGTCTTTCAGGGCGTGCCAAGCTTTTTGAAAACGGTCTTTTGCATGATATAGGGGCACATGCGGAAACCACAGAACCATGGTTCATTCTGAAGAGCTAGACCAACCGCTGGCCTTATGAAGGTCACCTCAACTTTCCTTCGCTACATTTTCAGCTTTACAAAGTTATGGAGCCTGGGTCGATCCAATCAGCAGAAGTACGTATGCTGTAGCAAAAAGGTTGACTTCATTGCATAAAACAAGCTAGAAATTGGGGGACGACAGTTCAGAGGGGCGAGTTGTCGTGGCAAGCCTAATAGAATTTCGTGAATTTTCTAGCGCTTCCCGTATAACAGGAAGCCAGACAGCAATTGCGGTCAGTTCAGTGATAAGCTTCTCGATAGTTCTGTGCAAACATGCTTCAGCTTAAATCTTCAGCTGATCGTTGGCATTGACAAAACTCGATCATCCTCACTATCTTATCTTTGTTGCTCTCGCTATTTAGGCTTTTTCAACGATTGTTGAAAGCCCATAATTATTGCGAATATCAGCGAAGTGCATCTATAAAATCTTTACTGACTTCAGCTCCTTAGAGGCCTTTTGAGCTAGAAAAACACAATCATGCAAATCTGCTCTTCGATATGTCTTATTCAAGGCTTCAAAAAGTGTTGGTCAGATTATCCTGTCCTCAGGTTGTGGATAGAGGAACGGCCGTCCCCCGTGGCGGTTAGCTGCGAATATATCGAATAAGCAGCCGCGAACAATCGAGCCAAAAACGCAGCTATAGGACAAGAGGGCTGCCAACCCGAATGGACTGCTGCAAAAGAAAAATCGGCAAAAACTTTGAAAATAGAATGATCTGGACCCGAGATGGGCGTGCGAAGGACCCCCGACTTTGCACAACAAGCCCACACCTCGGTGTAAGGCAGGGGCGGAAAAAGGACTACGGACGCATCAAAATGCACATCGCTTCCCACAACGTCAGGACATTATCGACAGACTCTCTCCTGGACGTATATCTACAACAACTGGAAAAGATCAAAGCCGACATTATCGGTGTATGCGAAACTAGGAGAGCACGCGCTGTCTCAGCGAGGTGGACAAGCGGTGAAGAAATTCTGCTGGGAGAAGGAGCCAACAATGTGCCCAGAACAGGTGGAGTCGGTTTCATCATAAAAGCGAAAATGGTCCCGTACATTATTTCTTGTGATATCATATCCCCACGTGTCGCTGTTCTGAAGGTCAAACTACAAAAGTTGGGAAATCGAACGCTCAAAATGGTGCAAGTATATGCGCCCACCATCTCAGCGGAGGACGATGAAATCGAACGTTTCTACGAAGAAATAGAGATGGCATTGAAGCTTAAATCGACATACACTATTGTTCAAGGCGATTTCAACGCAGTTGTCGGCTCCCGATTGGACGAAACGGAATACCTCATAGGAAGGTACGGCGCAGGAGTAAGAAATGACAGAGGAAACCGTTTGATCGAATTTGCAGAACAACATCGATTCTCAATAATGAACACTTTCTTCGAGAAGAAAACGAAGCGTCTCTGGACATGGAGAAGCTCAGACACGAGAACTCTGAGGCAAATTGATTATGTGCTGACCGATACGCCAAGATTGTTTGCTGACGTCTCTGTTATCCTTCTATGTATATAAAGCGCTAACTTTGTGTGTCGGTTGTGTATCTGGTAAGTGTGTGCTCAAGATTAATCAAGGTGCGCCTTCAGGGGTGTTGATGAGTGTGTAATCTGTATGTGTGTCCGTCCGCAAAATGAAGTGAGTCGAGAAGGAAGCTCATGGGATAAACAAACCGCTAACAAATCGGGTTAGCTTACAGGATTTGAGATATCAATGTTTTGTAGCAGGATAGTTGTGATAACACTCTTAGGGCTATATAAACACCTGCTTAGCACACTTCCGTTCATTCCACATGGTGCTGCAGTGGCAGCTGGAGGGCAGTGGAGAGAGGAAGGGAGGATGAGGAAGGGAAGCGAAAAATCTACCGTCATATCATGATTGTGTCCCTTCTACTGTTTGAAACACCATTGTGTTGCATACGCGTCACTTCCAGGAGGAGGCAGTTGGGTTGAGGTGGTTCCGGGACTGTTCACAGGAGGGAAGGAGAGCTGCATAGCGATGGATAGAAAAGCTTGCGCAGGAGCGACGGTCCGGCGCAGATTGCATCGTTTCTCTTTAGTCAATCTGGTAGGGAAAGTGATAATGATGACCGATCATGGTTTTACCTTTCTCGGCGCTACTACTCTGTTCATATGCAGAAAGAACGTTTCGAGTTCTAGCGTTCGCAAAGAACACTCTACGACAACTAGTTCAATGATCGATATGTAAGTGCTGCGATTGATAGATGTTCGTCGTGATCTTACACATGTGGTAATACCGAAAGCAATATCGGAATGCCGGCTATGAAGGTTCTAGTGGGAATAACTAACACCGGGCGTTGAAAGCATCGGCATGCAAGAGAGCGCCGAAGGCGAACGATCGTATTCGACAGAGCGCAGTGATTGAAGAGGTTAAGCAGCGCAGTGGAAAGGTGTAAGGTTGAGCGGAGTTGCAGAGATGGGAGATGGAGACCGGACGCAGCTTCTAGTTTTTAGTTGGGTGCGGAGTTTGAGGAAGAATGAGGTAATTTCGATCAGATGAAGCGGCTGATAAGAGACTACAGACAAACATGAGAGACTCTTCAGGCTCGGGGATATACGTGTGGTTCTCGCAGATTGAAACCAATGCAACATAACTTTACAAGCGTTATGTGAGGGTGGACAGGGGACATTGTTTGGAGTGGGTGCCAGAAACTGTAAACGATCGAGAAGGGCTGTAAGAGCGCGCGCCGTACGCTTCTGGAAAAAGTCGTTAGGAATAGTTGCCGCGTTATATCGCCGCTTGAGAAGGTTGACAATTTTATCTTTATTTATCTCTATTATTTTTCAGATTACAATCGCAACGCGGTTCTAATTACATATTGTAGTAAGTCGTAGTAGTACAATAGCAAGCGAGGGTATCGTGCAATTATTTCGATAGATTAGTCCGCTTACTTAAAAAGGATTCGGACTTGCATCAGATTCTTCAAAAACAACAATGTCTTCTAGTGCTAAGATGTACATCACGCTATATGTGATTTTGGATTGTTTAGCTATATAAGATAATCAACTGTCGAAGAGTGAATTCAACACGCTATCCGATTTTCGGGTTACTCATAATTAGTGAGTGATAGAAATGTATAAGTGGAGGGATGATAGAGACGATATCTTCTAAGTGACAACTATTTAGGGTGAATAGGCTATAGTTATAGTATTTTAGCCGTTTTGCGGGGTGGCTGAGCAGAATTACCGTTTACTGTCTGACGCCTAAATTTTTCTTATTCAAGCAAAATGGCATGAGCTAAAATGTCTAGATGGCGTTAGCGAGATAAAATACTATGCTTAGGTTTGTGGCGTTGTTTGCAGATGTGTTCACTCATAAGCGTATATGACAGCGTCCTTTGGCTTATCAATGAGACATTCAAGTGCCGAAAGACTTCGTGCGGAGGGTCTAGCCAGTCAGTAGTGAGATATGTTAAGAGAGTTGTCGTATGCATTGAATATTTTCATGGGTCATCAAATTTGACTAAGCCTCTGGGATTTCGTGTTATAGCGGCGCCAGCGGGCGAATCCGAAAAGCAGGTAGCTATTAATATATGACTTGGCGCAGAGTGTTCTAGACGCTTCTATTTCAAAAACTCATGCAACATTAATTCTTCATGCTACATAGGTCGAAAGAGAGAGTATAGAAGATCATTTGAGGTGCAGAGGCAACGGCATCTGCGTATCAGTTCAGTATTTCGACTGCAGGATACTTTTTCTTGCACTGAAGAGAAATGATCGATAATTGTAAATAGAGAAGTGGGTAACATCTCACAGAGTCGAATCTACCGCTTTACGATAACTGTATTCCCATATTTTCAGGATCTTACGATCATTAGAAGAAAGATAATTTTGCTTTAATAAAGTACTCGAATAAATACCCTAGGGATGAAAAATGCTTCATATGCTGATCTCATCGGTTATACTGAAGTAAATATTGTATGACGAGGCTTATTCGGTGGTTGAAAACGCGATATTGATGCTATGAGCAGAGTTTACGGCATTTAATCTCTCGTATGATTAGGAGCTTTCGCACTTCTTGATGTGATACATCCTCACGCTGTCTCTCAAATAAACTTGCACGACTCCATGTCCTCTCGAGAATTTAGACGAAATCATGCGTCCTCATCTAAACGCTAGCGCTTTCAAACATGCATTCAAGGTTGAGTGAAATGAGAATCGAATCCCGGTTCTGATAGAGATTTGTAGGTTCTGATGTTGTTTGTCTCTTCGTGGTTCTTCAGCAAATGTGAGCCCAGTGGACGATCGCGGGCGCTCTAGGCTTGCTTTTGAATCGGAGCCGCTTGATTGTGACGATCTCGCTGTGTTCTCGCTCGAGTGTACGTCAACAGAGAATTAGTATTTAGAATCTGAAGCTGCCGTGCATTACTAGTCTGTTGTTCTATTTATGAACGACAATACATGATTTCACGACATAAGCATTAAATGCTCATACTGTGTTCTCTGAGCATGCAGAACATAAATTCAGTAAGATTAACACTAAGAGAGTGTTGCAGTCGAAAGAAGAACGCATCCGATTAAAAATCAAGTGGATGCGCAATCAATTCAGTAATACAGAGACGATAAATGTAGACGGTGAAACAATTGAAGAAGTGAAAAGCTATAAATACCTAGGACACCAGCTCAGCTTCACTGAAGGCACAAGAGAGGAATACAGTAAACGCAAGAAAGCAGCATGGTCCAGTTTCAACAAAATCTCAAGGGTATTGCTAGACGATAACCTCCCGATGAAACTGAAGGCATCTTTGTTTCACTCAACGGTGATACCTGCGTTGTTGTACGGCGCGGAATGCTGGTCGCCCACTAAAGCAGACGAAGAGAAATTTGCTGTGATGCAAAGGTCAATGGAGCGCACGCAGAATTTGCAAAGTGTCACTTCGTGAATATCACAAACAATATATGTGGCCAGAGTTGTGTCGAATTTTTTATGCAGTTTTTTGTTTGTATTGAGTGATTCCAGATAATGTATTAATCGCGCGTTAGATTATGGAAATGTATAATCGTAAACGAGATTGGGCCGGTCACGTAGCACGTCTTAAAGATGACAGATGGACTTTCAGGCTTACGAATTGGATCCCATTGGATCACAAGCGATCGCCAAGAAGGCCCAAAACGGATGGGCCGATCCGATGGTGAAAATGCTCGGCCAACAATGGAGAAGACTATCGCTATAGGATCTCGCGCGGATTATCGGTGGTTGAGAGGGGTCGGTTACTTGGTGCCAATTGCGAAGTTGGCGAGGACGAGGCGGTACAGGATGATATAGTAAGGTATAATTCGCTAAGTATGTCTGTGTGTGTGTGTGTGTGTGTGTTTGTCACGAAATTCGTAGCTCGGGTCACAGCAACGATAGCGCCATGGTTCTTACATATGTTATAGGGGGTGGGATGGGGACTCAAGTGGTACGTGATAGGAACTGATAACGACTGATAATAGCTGATAAGAGGGGCTAGAAAGCGAGCATCGCCAATTTCGTTTTGTCGTTCATATTGTACTAGAGCGTCTATACTTACAAGTGTTATGTGGGGTGGGACGGGACATTGGTGGGTGATAGAAAGTGGTTACAACTGATAAGGGCTGATAAGGGCGTCAGAACGCAAAAGTCGTCGATTCCGTTACCCAGCTTGCGTTGACACTAGAGCGTCCATACTTACAGGTGTTATGTGGGGTGGGACGGGGACATTGTTGGTGGGTGATGGAAAGTGGTTACAACTGATAAGGGCTGATAAGGGCGTCAGAACGCAAAAGTCGTCGATTCCGTTACCAGCTTGCGTTGACACTAGAGCGTCCATACTTACAAGTGTTATGTGGGGTGGGACGGGGACATTGTTGGTGGGTGATAGAAAGTGGTTACAACTGATAAGGGCTGATAAGGGGCGTCAGAACGCAAAAGTCGTCGATTCCGTTACCCAGCTTGCGTTGACACTAGAGCGTCCATACTTACGTGTTATGTGGGGTGGGACGGGGACATTGTTGGTGGGTGATGGAAAGTGGTTACAACTGATAAGGGCTGATAAGGGCGTCAGAACGCAAAAGTCGTCGATTCCGTTACCCAGCTCGCGTTGACACTAGAGCGTCCATACTTACAAGTGTTATGTGGGGTGGGACGGGGACATTGTTGGTGGGTGATGGAAAGTGGTTACAACTGATAAGGGCTGATAAGGGGCGTCAGAACGCAAAAGTCGTCGATTCCGTCAAGTAGCTTGCGCTGACCGCTAAATTATCTGAATTCAAAAAGAATGCTGGATGTTTACAGTTGTGATCAATATGCCAGTTCAGCTCCAGACGTTATCACGCGTATTCTCGATGAGACTTCAGCGAAACTGGGAAAGGTCTAACACATTCAATAGTGAGGTGGTTAATGGAGTACCTCATGCTGATATTCCATGGGTCCTCCAGTTTCGCTAAAGCCTGCCGTGTGATGCGCGCGATAGCGGGCGGAGCAAAACTGGTAAAAAATAAAGATGACCCAACTGTCAGATGGTACAAAAAAAAGCTCTTTAAAATGGTGCGCAGCATGTGGCAGCTTGCTTGGAGTCAAAAAAAGTCAAACGCTCATGAATGGAATAACGAAAAGTGCAAGAAATTTCTCCATGACCTACATAATACTAGCCACTGCACCAGTGTTACCTTAAATTCGTTTGCTTAATACTGCTACGTAATTTATGAAGAAGATTCTACACATTTTGTAGTTTTGCTAAACTGCAGGTATCTGAAGTGGACGTTTCAATTGAGGTATCAAAGGGAATGAATGTAATAATTACGATAGGATTAAAGATGAAAGATGGTAGAAAATTCTACAATTCGTATCTGAGGAAATTACTACTTCTACAATATCGAAAGGTTAGGTCATGTTTGAACAACAAAGAAGAACACAGACGAACTATAAGCCCTTCAATAATTTTTAATTTTCCAGTCGAAAGGTGGTGCTTTTCCCGAAGTCACCTTGATCACAGATGACCCAGATGTACGGGAAATCAACCTCGGGGTAAGGTGTTTCACTGGATTCACTAATTTCTCCTCTGAAAACGGTTGCATTGATGTCTCTGCTGATACAGTCTGGCGAAGGGCAGAAAAGAAAAGGTGGTGATGAGAGGCGGAATGATTATGAGAACCTCATTGCAAGAGTGAGCTCCGTTGCACGTAATCTCGGATTTTGAATTTGACCATTTGGCGTAATGGAAAGGATACGCTCCCGTGAATGCTCACCACCAAAATCGATTCGGTGTGACCATTGATCTTGAAGTTGAGATAAACCGATAATGGAGAAGGTGAAAGGAGATTAACTCCACGAATTTGAACTGAGGTTTTCCAGCTGCTGATGTTTATAGTGTTGTAGTGGAGAGACATAGCTCGACAAAGATAGAGAATACATGAGTAAGCGTAATCGCGAACGAGACCCAGACACCTGGCAGGTTGAGGGTTACTTAGAAGACATCACTAGTCAAGTCACAACGATATAGCGCCCTCTCGCGAACTTGCAAACGAGAGTGGAACAGCCTCTGCGCTTCCGATCTGTTCTGCACTAGTCACAACAGATATGAGTTGACAGTCGAGTTGATATGAAACATGGTCCCGTCTTTGGTGCCGTATTTTTCGATGGACAAGCTTCTTGTATAATTCGTATAGCAGACACGCACCTTCTCAATAAGGTACACTGTGATGACTGATGTCGACATTGATGAAGATTGTTATATTTTCACCGACCGATGACAGCTCTGAAACAACGACAGTCTTTTTCTACATCAGCGTTGCCTCGATAGAGTCTTTCTTTCGGACTCATGGAACTGGTGTTTTTCGTGAGGTCTCCGTTTGGAAGAAGGTGCTACTAATGGTATCTCGACCCAAGACAAGGCGATATTGCACATAACGAGTTCGTGGGACCACTTTCTTTTCGGCACACCTAACTTTCGCTCAACAATAGATGAAATTGTTCTTAAGCATTTTTAATATCAAATTTCCGAACTTAGCTATGTACTGGGCATAACTACGGCTTTAACCTTCTACACTATATATATTTGTAAAGTGGAGTGGAAGTTTGAACTCGCATATGAAAGCGATGGAGGGTAAAAAGTAATAATTAATGCAACAGCAGGTTTTTTGATACAGTTGAAACTCATTCTTGTATTAAGACTTTTGAAAGCCAAGGAAGCCTTGATAGCTAACTAATCTTGAGATTAATCAGACAGAATCCTGATCACTACCTCGACGAACTAATGCCACACTCCAAAATTTATGTTAAACACTCACAATGTACTTGTGATCATGCCTGTATAGACACTGTTAAATCTGCTAAAAGTGCTGGTATGATAAAAATGTTTCTGACACGCATATAAGAAAATTCCAAGGTGGAAACCATGATTGAGTGTCATCGTCCCACGTGACAGATAGGCTGGTACCCCCCGGTGGGTCCCACTGTGGCCAATGGGGTAGTCGTTTGAACGTGATGGGGTGTGCACCTTTAGTCTAAAGTGCAATTATGGGGATACCACCTCGCACCTACACTCACCTGCCTGTGGGAAGACCTTGTTAATTGCACTGAGTTGTCTGCTGACCTCTTCCTCTCAGACTCAGTATCGATCATTTGATTACTGATTTTTTCACCTAAGTTTCCAAAAAACAGAAACAAAACAGTAAAGAAAGCAACAACTAAAAATAGAAAACACAAAAGCACGTCATTAAATTCAAAAGCTACATGAATTAAATTGTTACGAAGTAGGAGACAGAAAAAAAATTCGAAAGTCATTTCAATCTCACGTTCAGATCTTTTTCTTAGTGATAGTATGATTGAATCCATTTCGTGTTCTTAGTATGGCGTAGAAAACTGCGCATTTGCACTCACGACTCAATGGATTACAGTGTAACTTTTGAATCGACATCTAAATTTTTGAGCTTTCGAAACTCGGATGTACACATTTTAAAGTGAACTAGAATGATACAACAGCAAAGATTTTCTGTTGGCTGGAGATCCAAAGCCAACGCTCAGATTTTTCAATTCGACACATTCTTGACTCGTGTTCCAGTTATGTTTCAGTATTAACTTGAATTAACATTTTTCACCGTCGTTCTTGATTCCGTGAGGGATCCCACTGTGGTATTTTTGGTGGATCACTTGATTCTGGTCACTAGCAATCAGTGATAGTAAATTAAACTCAATCTCAACACTGCTCCACAAAGAACAATCGACACTTCTTCACGCTTGATTTATTTTTGAAATGCGTATGGAATGAAAGGGTATTTGCACAATTTGATATTTTTTCTGCGGTCTATTTTGAGAAATATGTCTAATGAGACTTTCCAAAGTTTGCGGAAGCTTATGCTGATCAGGTTCTACCAGTTTAGCTCAGCACGCTACCGCGTGCATATGGCGTTGAAGCATTATGTTTCACCGGTAAAAGACGAATAGATTCGTGAAGTGCGTTAGCTGACTGTCCGCTGATACGCGCGGTGGAGTACGGAGCTAAAGTGATGTCTGTAAACAACCACCATGCATCGGATGTCAGAGTGACGGTCGGGTAATCGTTGATGCTAATGGTATTGCATTGAAAATACCCTCAATGTATTATCAATTGTCCACAAAGGTCCAGCGTACATTCTTGGGAGCTTTGAAGCAAGTAGCGGTCGGACAGTAATTTGGGCTGAGGACGACAACACATAAGATTTTCTCTATGATCTTACGCGTAATCCGTCCTTATAAGCCGTCATCAGTTTGGGTCCCTCACGAAATATATTCCCATACCGCCCTCTACATCACTTATCAAACCAACACCACCCTGTTGCTAAGACGTCCGCCATGAATTTCGTGAAATTTGCGTTTCAGCGCCTCTTATCAGCCTTATCAACCGTTATCACTTTCTGACCCCACCAAATATGTTCCCGTCCCACCCTGTACATCACTTCTTGGAACCAACGCCCCACTGCTGCTGGGACGCGCGCTATGAATTTCGTGAAATTTGCGTTTCAGCGCCTCTTATCAGCTCTTATCAGCCGTTATCACTTTCCAACCCCGTCACATATGTTCCCTTCGTGGTCCCTACATAACACTAAAACGCTCTCCATAACTGCAGCGGAGCGCGCTATGAAATTCGTGACAAACGGAGGCACACAAACACGCACGCACACACATAGCGAATTATATCTAGAAGGATCATATCGTTTATAAATATATCACTTTTAGCAATCTAGAAGTTCTGAAGGTGATTCTGATGTGGCAAAAAACATACCCAGCCAGCTGCAAAATTCCATGCTTAATTTGTAAGCATTATGACTCTTTTGTATGAATGATGAATCAGGTTGAATAAGATGAACTAAAGTTCTAAAGTAGCTGTTCTGAAACGATTATGGGGAAAGATTTGAATAGGCGGAAAGTGGCTTGCACAAAAACCTACCTACAAAAACCTTGAATCCCTACGTGGGGTATCCTTGGAGCAGAGTCAAATTCAAAAAAAACCTTGAGAAAACTCTGCTCCTCCTGCTTTGATGGGAAACAATTTATCCTGATGTAATCAGCAGACATACCGTCATAACCTCTTAATAAGATTGATGCAGCACAACCTAGAATATCTGTGCGAGGTCAGCAGTCAGCACAGCCAATGAGTGTGCACCTTTAGTCAGTAGTGACCTTTCACATCTCCACGCTGTTATTACCTCGCACCATGAGCTCCGGGGATTGGCGAAATAATAAGGTTCGTCTGAGGAAGGAGCGAAACGAACCGTATCAATTATTTTGTTTATAATGGTTTTTCTTTCTTAATTCGCCTCACTTGCCTATGGGCAGACTTCTCTTAACCCATAACGGACGGCTAGTGTATTTTTCGCCACCCACCCAGGGTAGGGTTTATGTAGGCTTATGTGAACAGCAGGGGTAAGACGGGGCTAAAGTAGGTGTCGGAGTCTCATCATCCAAAAGAAGAGATTTCCGTTGACGACAAGTTCGTAACCCGCCTTTCCGCTCTAAAACTAGGGTGCAAAGAATGAATGGAAGCTGTAGGTGACATTATCGAAAAATGCGAAACAACAACCCCGAGCAAGGATGTGGCTATATTTAGGGGAAGGGGTCTCGGGACGTGCGAACCATGGGTAAGCCACCCATCAAATAGTAAACTTATGTAAATTAAGACAAAATGTATGTAAAATTTATTGTAGGTTTGTCAAAAATCCAGCCGTCCAGGTCCTGGGAAGATATGACATTGCTGAGAGTATATATGGGTATATTAAGATTGCTAGAAACATTCCAAAAACAAAAGAAATAGTCGTGCGCCACCTTGTGGCGCACGCCGTCCGTTATGGGTTAATTAGTTGCGCTGACTGTTGACCACAACGATACACTCATTGCATAGAGAACATTGATCGCTGAATAAAGGTATCGAAATATTGGCAAGCAGATGCATGTGAATTTTATAGATCTGCTTCAATCACGTGATTTTTACCATTAGGAAGCTCATATTTAGTAATTTTCGACAATTACGAGGGAGACTGACAGAAAAAATCCAAGAATTTTTTACCTGAACGACTTCTCGAGAAAGTTTTACCTCTCACTAGAGGTAAACACTCAGTTACTCAAAATCTCATTATATCAAGGCGCGGGTTTTATTCAAAGAATTGTATCCTCCTTTCCTTATTATCCTTATTATTATTTTCCTTATTATTTTCCATTCCTTATTATATAAAGCGCTAACTTTGTGTGTCGGTTTGTATGTATGTATGTATGTATGTATGTATGTATGTATGTATGTATGTATGTATGTATGTATGTATGTATGTATGTATGTATGTATGTATGTATGTATGTATGTATGTATGTATGTATGTATGTATGTATGTATGTATGTATGTATGTATGTATGTATGTATGTATGTGTATGTATGTATGTATGTATGTATGTATGTATGTATGTATGTATGTATGTATGTATGTATGTATGTATGTATGTATGTATGTATGTATGTATGTATGTATGTATGTATGTATGTATGTATGTATGTATG